GAGCTGAACATGGTGAAAGGTGTGATGAGGGAAACCACCTGAAACAATATGCAATCAAGGACTCTATCAAGACAGAAACAGACCTGGGGAAGAGTAGCTTAGGAAACGAGCCCTAAATCAATGGAAGATGGGAAAAATCCCCTTTCTGGCCAAAATAAAACTTTCAGAGGGAAACCAAAGACCAAGAGGATTTGAAAGGCATCCAGGGACCCACCTTGGAATTCTCCCCAGCTCTGGAAGCCCCAAATAAAGACTGGGTCAGAGCCGTGTTCTACGCTTGGACAGACAGGAAGGCATCTCTACAAACTAAAGGATCTGAGCCAAATCCACTCTCCTGAGAGAGAGAGAGAAGGCTCTGGGTTCCAGTGTGAAGCAGTGGCTGAAAGTGAAAGGGATAATTCCCAAAGAAGGCTGAGCTACACCCACAGCTAAACACAGCTCTGATCCTGAAACACAGAACAAGGGGGTTGGGAGATAGTTCTAACAAACAATGCTAGAAGGACCAGGGCAAGTAGGAGGAGGGGTGAATGCAGAACAGGTGGAATCAATCAGCCACTCCACCTTTAAATCACTAAACAGCAAAAGGGGCTGATCCCAGGGCAAAGAGTAAGTAAAGAGAAAAGTGAAATGGCTCCTGCCTTTTAAGCCTTGTTATTACAAAAATATGAAATAAATAAAGATGTGGGATTGGTTCATCTCTAGCCCCAACCACGGCGGTGTCCGTGTTTGGAGTCCCTGTGCCTTCATTAACAACCTCAAGGTAAACTCCGGAGCCAGAGCTCCTAGGGCAGCTAATTCATTGTTGCCTTCAACTTCGTTCTGACAGTTCCTGCGACGGTGCTGGAACCAATTGTATTGGCTTTTACCTTTCCATTGGAGACTTTCAGCGCAGTGGAGAGGGGGGGACCTGCTGCATGGGTAACAGCTTTTCCTCCATATCAACCTACCCTAGTTTTGCAAATACTGCAGCAATACTTTGGTCAATGAGTGGCCTGGAGAGAGAGGCCACTCCAGACCAACAACTAGAGTGCAACTCCAGTCTCCTGAGACTGGTGGATGCCTACTACTACTACTACCAGGATTGGCTAAATCAGAGACCCAGTGAACATGAACTTTGCAGGCCTCAGGGGTGGAAGGTGTTACTCATCCAACAGGCAGGAAAGCAGACAGTATGCGTATTAATAACGGTAGTAGGCCCAAGAGAAACTACAAGCGAGAAGCGTTATTCAATAAATTCAATTTTAATAATAAAAGGATTGACTGTGAAAAAATAAACGGAACTTACATTCAATGGGAAAATGTTCTAAGTAATAAAAAATCCTACACAAGGAATAGAAAAACTGACTTCTGAAGTATATGAAGTCTGTCTGAAACATGTTCCTTTGAGAAAAGCCAGAAAGAGGTCCAATGTAGGAAGAGAACGCGGACACCACTACTAAAGAAGGAAAAAATTAACGGAAATTCTTAAGCAGACACGACTTTCCATACAAAGAAGGAATAATTTAAACTGGGAGATCGAAGAAATCGAACAGAGACTGAAGCATTATTATCAGACTGAAGAAAGGCAACTAGAACAGAAAGCAATTCAAGAAATAAAGAAAAATATTTATATATATTTCTTCACGTATGCTAAATCAAAAGCAAAAACCACAGCCAGTATTGGACCTATTTGTATTAGTGAAGGTTCATACACTGAGGATGACAAAGAAATTAGTGAAATCTTAAAAAAGCAGTATGAGGACATATTTAGCACTTTGATACACAGCATGAAAGTGGAAGATCCAGGCAACTTCTTTATGCGTGATATCCAAACTCCTGTAAATATAACTGATATCAACACGAGCTTGATAGATTTTTAAAGAGAAATTGTCAATATGCCCATGCACTCAGCCCCGGGTCCAGACTCATGGAATTCAATATTTATAAAGAAATGCAAAGTGCCAATAGCACAAGCACTCAATATATTGTGGAGGAAGAGCTTGGGCACGCGGAAGATACCAGATGCGCTTAAAGCAGCAGACATAGCCCCTTTACACGAGAAAGGGAGCAAAGCATTGGTAAAGAATTATAGACCAGTTGCACTAACATCTCAAATAATAAAAGTATTTGAGAAAGTGATCAGGAGTCAGATCACTAATTTCATGGAAACCAATGACCTCTACAATCCAGGCCAACCTGGATTTAGAGCGGGAAAATCATGCCTGTCACAGCTACTTGACCATTATGACAAAAATCACTGAGGCATTAGAATAAAAACAGATTGCAAATGTGGTATACTAAGATTTCACAAAGGCATTCGATAAATGTGACCATGGAGGGATAGCACACAAAATGAGGCCAGTGGGAATAACTGGTAAAGTAGGACCCTGGATACTCGTTTTTTTGTCGAACAGAACACAAAGAGTAACAGTCAACCATATAAAATAGAGTCCAAGCGCAGTTAAAAGCTCTGTAACTCAAGGTACAGTCCTTGCTAAACTGCTTTTTCCTTATTCTCATGTCAGATATAGACTCAAATACAAGGCACAGCTTTGTATCATCCTTTGCAGATGACACAAAAATCAGCATGAAAATTACCTCTGCTGAAGATATTGAAAAACTACAAGGAGATATTAATAAAGTTTTCGACTGGGCATCAGAAAATAACATGATTTAACAGCGCTAAATTCAAGGTACTCAGATACGGTAAAAATGAGAATCTTAAGCATAATACAGGGTACAAAACACAATCAAATTTGCCCATAGTAGGAAAGTAACATGTAAAGGATTTGGGAATAATGATGTCTGATGACCTAACGTTTAGGGAGCATAACCAAGCAAATATTGCGTCAGCCAGACAAATGATAGGATGAATTACGAGAAATTTCAAATCCAGGGATCCTATCACAATGGTTGTGCTCTTCAAATCACTTGTGCTGTCCCGTCTTGAGTACTGCTCGGTACACACTTCCCCCTTCAGAGCATGAGAGATTGCAGAAACAGAGGAAGTACAGAGAACAGATACAGCATACATAGACGCGATAAAACACTTAAATTATTGTGATTGTCTCAAAGCCCTTCAAATGTACTCGTTAGAAAGACGACAAGAGCGATATAAAATAATATACACATAGAAAATAGTGGAGGGCCAGATCCCAAATCTACACAGTAAAATAGCAACATACTGTAGTGAACGATATGAAAGAAAATGCAGAATAGAACCAGTGAAGAGCAGGGGGTGCCATAGGCACAATCAGAGAACACTGTATGAACATCAGAGGTCTGCGATTGTTCAACATCCTCTCGGCGTGCATAAGAAATGTTTCTGGGACAACCGTGGACATCTTCAAAGGAAAACTAGATAGTTTTCTCCAAGGAGTGCCAGACCAACCAGGCTGTGGTGGGTATGTGGACCTGCGGGCCGCTCCAAGCCTGGTAAACCAAACTCTCACAAGTCAAGCCTGGCCTCGGGCCGGGCTTGGGGAGTAGAACTCCCAGAACCCCATCAACCAGGTATGAATGATCATCATTACATATCAAAAACCAATTGACATTCCTTGAACTTGTGCAAGTAGCAAGTGCAGGTTCAGTGGGTTGTCTAGTGACAATCCACACAATAGACACACACAAGGCTTTCCAAGTCTTGAGGGTAATGACCAAGCAGGCAATCAGGTGCTAGGGACACTTACTGGATGAACCGACACCGAACGATGCACAAAGAAAAATGCAGCTGTAAATGCTGTCAGCGGTATGCAATATGTACAAACACATATGCCCCTAGTGCTTCCATTACTCAATAAACCCCTGAATGCCTTCCAATCTCAGAGACTCATAAAGGAGACAAGAGACCTTATACTAAGTGTGAGGCACTCTTCACAGGAGGCTGACTTCTTTGAGACAAACACTAAACCTACCAGGGTTCATGGCACGGGCATCATCAACGAATGCCCAGAAAAGGGCAAGATGAACAGTTTCCAAAGTCCACAAAAAGTAAGCCTTGTAAGTACATACATTTGAAGCAAATCCTAAAGTCTGTAAGATACACATGTAATTGCCTTCCCATCCCCCCCCCCCCTTACAGGACAAAGTCCAAAAGATGCCCAGTGCTTATCAAGAAAATCCATGCCTCGAAAAACTGATAACTTGTTGAATGGTCAAACAAGTCTGACATCAGGCTCATGACTGAGGATTGTTGACAGGAGAACCCAGCAGCTCCTGTGGTACTGCCACTTTTTTGTCAGTAAGCTATTAGGGTGGTGTATGACCTGACTTCTGGGCGGTTAGTTTGCCAAGTCATTTGCTGAATTGTGTTTACTTTGTTATCCTTACAACTGTCCATTTTGTTTACTTCCTTTCTGTGGGGGGGGGTTTAATCCTTTGGTGAGGGTGATCGTGAATTCTATGTTCCCTGCACATCTGCGAGGGGGAGGCCAGGTTTGGCCTCTGATCTCTGGTAGGATTTTGAGGACTTGCAAGAGTTGATATGGCAGGTATGGAGCTGATTTACAGGTATGGAGCTATCCAAGTACAGCTAGCTATAAGGAACACCATTTGGCCCCTCCAGAAAAAACATGTACAGCATTTTGCTGCCCCTTCAATCCACATTTACTTTGAAGATGGTGCATGCTGGGAGAGCAATTGTTAATAATTTATTTTTGTTTTTATATTTTGTACTAGTATATATTACAGTACCAATTTGCAAACATATAAATGTAACTAAAACAAAATTTAAGTAAACAGATGTATAGATGGAAAATTATTATAAACTTTGTTCAGTGATTTGGTAGCTTGCTCAATGTTGGTTGTGTTGTGCAAGCTGATCTCAGAATTCAAGCATATTACCTTTCTTGGTTTGCATATTTATTGATGACAGCTGGTTATTTTTTAATAATATATTTGTATAACTATCATCCTAATCAGATCATTGCTGGAAAATGTAAGAGGAATTTGTTCTGGATATTGCTTATTATTCTTTTTTATTAATTTATAATTTTGTTAATCAATTTATATTTTTTCCACAGTGCAACCTACCTCACTGCAAAACTATGAAGAATGTATTGACTCACATGACCACTTGCCAAGCGGGTAAGTCATGTCCAGTTCCTCACTGTGCGTCATCCAGACAAATTATATCCCATTGGAAGAACTGTGCCCGTCAAGACTGTCCAGTGTGTGAACCTTTAAAACAAGCAGATAAAAAGCAGCCTGGAGCTGGAGGTTGTTCAGGGCAGATAGCAACAACTGTGTCCCAATCCGGCCCCAGCCCAGGAGGGGTTCCAGTGCCTCTATCTGGTCCTCCTGGACCACCAGGACCCCCTGGTCCACCTGGTGTTGCAGGTCAGATGCCAACAGGGCCTCCAGGGCAAAATGCTGGACCAAGACCTGGAGGTGTAAAGCGAGTGTATGAGGGGGACACGTTACAGCCAGCCATGTCTGGTCCCCCAGGACCAACGGACTCTTTAATGAGAAATTTAAGACCACAGGTGCCTAGTGTTGGGGGAATGCCTACAAATGCCCAGCAGGGAGCGCCTGGAAATGTTCCAGGTGGGCCCACAGGTGTACCTGGAGCACCAGGGGGTATGCCTGGGCAGATGGTGCGACCAGGTGTACCTAACAAGGGACCTGAGGGAACTATGATGGGCACTTCCACTCCCCAGGGAATGAGCTCCCCTGGGATGATGGTCAGAGGGCCTAATGCTTTGTCTGGACCATTGAATACTCCTCAGCAACAGCAGCAAATAATTGGCAAGCCCGCAAGTGTTGGCATCAATCAAAACAATCCTGTTGTGAGTACAATGGTGAGTATCTATCCTGAAGGATTCCCACTGCTTAAGGGGGCGTCTGGTTGGCATCTGGGTCCAAAAATGCAAAAATGAAAACTCATTCGATTTCAATCAAACTTTTTTGACAAGTTCTATATGAAAAGTGTTTCATCTGGTCCAAGTTTCAGCATTGTAGCGTTAATAGGAAGGGAGAAAAAAAATATTGAAGTAGTTGTGAAAATTATGCAAAAATGGTCAAAATCGATTATCAATCAAAAGTGTCAACTGAAATCATAAGTACAACTCTTTGCTATCACAATAGCATATATTAAACAAATAATATTATTAGTTTAATTGGAAAAAAAATTTAAGGAAAAAAAAAAAAAAGGATTTTTTTTCTTCTTTTTTTTTTAAATATTTTTTTTTTTTCATTTTTTTGGGGGGCGATTTGCATCAAACTTACACACCTGACTGTACGTAAGCCTATCTGTAAGGATGTCAATTTTGGAGAAAATTGGTTAATGTCAACCCCAGCCACAGATTTTAGAACCTTAGACTTTATTCATTTCTGTTTTTTTTTCAATTGACACAAACGTTTACAAAACTCATTCTTTTTTTATTCAATTTACATGAAACTTACACAGTATATGTGGAGGGCATGTCTCTACATTGGGGGGCTTTCATTTTTCTCTAAGTTCATTTATTGATTTTATAATAGCAATAAACATGCCATATTTGCAAAAAAAATTTGGGGAACTTTGAACATTTGTATTAGGAAAACTAAAGATGTTTTGGAAATTCTAAATCCCCAAATCCTTTATTATATGCTAATGTGTCAGAAAAGTGTCACAGAATAATTTTATCTGAAACGTGTGTTCTGAAGTGAAGACTCTAAAATGTGTAAAAAACGTTCAAAAAAAAACAAAAACAAAAAAACTCCCTTTCTATTTACGCTGCAGTACTGAAACTTGGGACAATTTAAGCACTTTTCATATACAACTAGAAAAATAATATTGGTTGACATTGAACAACTTTCATTATAATAACCAGACGCCCCCTTAAGTACATTTACTTTTGTGTTTATATATCCTGAGTTTTTATTAATATCTCTATTTACTTTCTTCTAAGGTACGTGTACTTAAGGATTTGCCTTTGCAGTCTTTACAGTCTTTACCTGATTCCTGGTTGAATCTGCCAAATCAACCTGCACAGTTGCCTGGTGGCTTTGGAGCTGTTACTGCCAAGCCTGTTAAGGGGACCAAAGAATGGCACCAAAGTATATCAAATGAGCTGAGAAATCATCTTGTACACAAGCTGTAAGTTAACTTCTTTGCACTTAAACTATAATTTGATTAAGTTGTTTATATAATAAAGAATCTGTAATACAGATTAAGTCAGGTACAATACTTTTCTCTTTATTATGTTACATAAGAATGAGTCTAAATAATCTATTTTGTCCATTTGCACTTTATGATTGAGAATATAGGGTGTATGCTCCCTGTATTCTCAATCATAAAAACCAAAACCTCCCCATGGTGGTTTTGGTGATTGTTGTATTATTTATTGATTGTTGTATGGCCTATTGATTAATGTATGACCTATTTTGTTCTCTTTGCTCATTTTTTGTAACTCTCTTTCCCCTCATAACATGGTTCTTCTTCATTGCAGAGTTCTAATTCATGATTATTTATAACAATATGTGTATATGTTAAATGTTTCTTCTTTTATTATCGTTTTATGACATCATTAACATATACTACAGGCATGATGTTAGACCTTAACAGCTCAGTTGTGGATGTGTTCATTGACCTGTATGGCCCACTTTAAATGTTTCTAAACTGCATTTTTATTATATTCTTCCATTTTATATTACCCCCCTATCCAAGCCATCATTATTCTTTTGCATTTAATTTTGTACATTCTTTGTCATCATTCTGTACTTGCTTTCTGCCCATATTATTGTTTTCTTATTAGGTATTTAAAAAAAAAGGAATACAGTTTTCAGTGAATTTCAGAACTGCACCACCAAGTTTCTGCAGTAAGCAAGGTCCTGCTGTTTTTATTGAGAGGGCATTGAAGTCAGAAAGTAGAAAAGTTTGCATTTATACAACTTAAGAGAATGCAGGCTCACAATTAAGAGGCAGATAGGAACTGAGGGGGGGATCTGTTTATATACAAGGTGCCAAGGGAAATAAACAAGGTGAACAAAAAGAGTGTGTATTTAAATTGAGGGGAAATAGGCCAAGAGGACATTGGTGGATGTTGGATTTATCATTCATGTATTGTAGAAATGGAAAGAAAATTTGTGTTCCCTGTATGGGTAATTGGCAAGTGGAATACATTTTAGAAACCAACACCCTCCACAACTTTTAAGAAAATGTATGAAACAATCTTGCTCAAGAGATGTAGTAAGCAAACCAGTTATAAAGGGGCTATGCTGCAGGGTGTAAAGAGCAAGATTTTACTTCCTCATAGTCACTAACAGGTAATTATAGCCTCTTAGTCCCAACAATGCTCCTACCATTACTGCAACCATTACCACTTCCACCATTCCACCAATGCCACTTCCATCACTCAATATTACTGCTCAATGCTACAAGTACTTCCATCACTATTATAGTTGCTGCTCCCATAATTATTATTTCTGCCTTCTGTCTGTAGCTGTATCATTGATAAAGCTACCTTGACCACTATAACCACAAACTTTGACCACTGTAACCACAATTACCACTGTCGCTATCTATATGACCACACCCATTACACCATCTTCAGCTTTAAGAGCAAATGTAAAATAAATAGAATGCCAAGACATTTTAAACACCAGGTACAAATAGGTAGGAAGCGAAGCACAAAGACCTAGCTTTCACTCCCTGTAGACACTTGGATAACACTTCCTCCTAGAGGTTACTTTGAGGTGTTTCCAAGGATCAGTGTCCTTGCAACCTGGTCTGTAATTAGGTGTCCCAGTTGGTGGTCTGGTCATTTAGGTTGCTAGATGGCACTTCTCACAATCTGATGAATGAATTACAACTAGGTTCGCCACCCTAAAGTCATTTCACCACTTTATTCGTTGTACCGTATTTGATCACTACAACACTTAGTGTCATTGTATATACAGTACTGATTTTTCAAGATTTATTTTCCTAATGTTTGCCTCATGTCCATTACAGTGTACAAGCCATCTTCCCAACTCCAGACCCTCAAGCTATGCTTGATAAGAGAATGCAGAATCTTGTTGCCTATGCTAGAAAAGTTGAGGGGGATATGTTTGAAATGGCAAATTCCAGGGTAAGAGACAAGCTCAAACATATTTTATAATGTGTTAAATGTTAAGCACCTTTGTTTATACTGCATGATATGGAGGATGGAGTGAGTGGATGGGTGCCACTTTAAATATTTTTGGCCTTATTTTCTTTTACTGCTTCCCTGCCTTTTCTGGGTTGAGTAAAAGTCAAGGCTGGCAAGCAGAAAGATAATCCATTCTCTTTGCTCAGCTTTTGTGGATTTTTCTATAATCACTGCCATGTGAAAAGGTGTAAAGAAATTATTCTTAACTGAATTAAATACCAGAATGACTATTGCAGATTATTAGATTAAATGCTTCTGTGAAAACTGAATTTTAGATGTGATCCTCCCTTTACCATGTGTGTGATTTTCCTGTGGATTTCTTGGTTCAGGTTCATTCCATTGCCCAAGTGTTGCCTTCAAATTCAACATAATTTTTTTTTTTTTGCTTAGGGTAGGCCTCAATTTTATTCTTTATTGTCTAGTATGGACTTCTGGGAACTCATTAATAATTAAGTGTTATATTGGTTTGGAGGAAATTATTGAGTCTATTCAATACTTGTAAATTAAAAATCCTTAACACTTTCGCGCTATCTGGACGCGCCGGCGCGTCCCGTTTCGTCTAACGCTAACGCATAGTGGACATAAAGTTGAGTCCTCTTTTAAAATATTTGTATAAAATTCAATTTTTATCCGATTTACTTTGGGTTTGTTTCAAACTGCGCGCTATGAGGCTCTCTTTCTCACCACTAGGCTGCATGGTACAATAAGTTCATGAAAGGTGTGGATAACTTCGATCAAATGGTATTTTGTCCCAAACGGGTTGCAGGTGGGTGACTTTAGCCGTTTATACTGGTAATGCTTCCCCCATATCATGTATTATATGCATATGTCTGTTTAGGGAATTTTATTCCGATCAATATTCAACCAAAAATAACTGTGTGCAACAAGTATAAACTTGACAAACATAACAAAAGTAAAAACATTTCGTGTGTGTTTGACGCTCACTGATATGTTCCAGCGTTGTTTTATATTTGGCGCTATTCTAACTTACGCTTTGTTGATATTTTTTACCTATGGGCACATAGAACATTCTATTGCGAACACATTGACACAAAAATGAATGACGTACATAGAAAATTAATGTCATGAGAGTGAAATAAGTATAAACTTTCAAAGCGCCGTGCGTCGTCCCGTCACCGATACCGGGTAACAATTTCACCACTTCCCACACTCTTGCGGGCGGGCCGCATCATTATTCTACGCTTATATTCATATCACCGTGTTGGGAATTTCATTGCGAGTCCATTGATACCAAAATTAACGCTGTAGAATAAGTGTGGAGGTGATTACAATCCCAAGAGTAAAAACATTTTGTTGCTGATGGGCGCTCACGGCGAGTCATCTTCGTAGTTATTTATTTGGTGCTGGTATCCCTATACGTTTCGTGACTTTTTTTACTGATGTTCTTCTAGAGAATTTTATTGCGAACACGTTGGTACCAAAATGAAATACGTAGCATGAGAACTAAGGTCAGAAGAGTAAAAAGAGTATACACATTTTTGTTTTTACGCTTAAGCGATAAAAACGCTGCGCGCACATTCGGTTGGCTGAGTGACCTTTGCGGAAAGCGCGAAAGTGTTAATATTGGGTGGGGGGCTATTTTTTACTATCAGGTTTCATCCTATTTATAATTGGAAAGAAGTAGACAGATGCAATTGAGACCTTACACAGTGTTAACATAAGAGATAATGCTAATATAGTATCATTTGTTTTTTATCTATAGCAGTAGATATAGGAATTCCAATGTTGCCCTAAAACTTACATCAATCTAGCTAGGCTTCACATCAAGTTTGTTGTGCAATTTTGATTATTATGTTAAATAATGATTGGAATCCTTTGGAAAGGATACAGAAAAGGATGGGTTAATCCTTGAAAGTTGGAGAATGAGGGACATTATTAAAACTATTACATCTGAACTCGGAAGTGGATTCAAAGTTAAGACATTGAGTTTTGATTTTGTAGCAGAATTGTGAATAGGTGGACAAGCTACCAAGTAGTGTCACTGAAGTGGATGCCTTGAAAGACTTAAAAAAAAAGTTTGGTTAAATAAATGTGAAAATGTGTGAATGTAAACTATATTTGCCCAAGTCATTATTCTTATAATGAATATAAGAATAATGGCTAGTGGGCCAGTAGACCCACTAGGCATTATTCTTATATTCTTGTATATGAGTATTTGTTGATGGTTTACTTAATCTTTTCTTACCAAACACCTTTATATTTTGTTTTTATCAGCCTGAGTACTACCATTTGTTGGCTGAAAAGATTTACAAAATTCAAAAAGAGTTGGAGGAAAAACGCTTGCAAAGGAAGCAGACGACTCCACGGGATGGGGCTCCTGGTCCCCCAGGCCCTCCTGGTCCTCCTGGTCCTGCTCCAGGTGTGGTTCCTTCGGGACCAATTGTTGCTCCTGGTCAAATCCTTACTCCTACGACTTCAGGCTCTTCTACCATGGGTAGGGCATGTCTAATTTGTTTAATATTTTTGTGTGTAATATTTGTGACATTCATATGCAGCTTTGAAATTCATTTGCAGTAATAAAATTTATAATCCTTGTGATAGGTACAGGTGCGATGTTTATGGTTACAGGAATGGTAGCCCGTCCCACAGGTCCTCGACCAACTCACCCATCTGGGAATCTAATTCCTAATAATCATCCTATGGCTAACAATCAAGTAGCTCAGCCAACTTCAATTTGCCAGCCTAGTAATCAGATGGTAATAGGTCCTCCAATTAGTGGACCTATCACCACCACCACCGCAAGTAACAACAGCACCATCGTTAATTCTTCAGGTCAATTCCCAGGCTCTGTTCCCCATGGAGATATGATGTCTGGCCCTAGACCCACTATTCCTCCGCCACCTTACAGCACTTCGAATGATTCGTCAGTCATGAATCAGATGCCTAATCGTACCTCTCCAGCCATGCCCGTGTCTTCAGTTGCCGTCACTTTAGGTATTCCCATGAGCATGTCTTCTCAGTCTACCCCAATCTCTATGACTAGTGTTTCAAGTAGTGAAAATTCCTTCCCACCAACTTCACAGCCCAGCATGATCACTACAAATGCTAATAGTGAAAATACCGTTGTACCTACGTCCATTCACACTAAAGAAAATGCTATGGGCAATCAGTCTACTCCAGCAGAGATGACAGATGATAAATCTGATATTAAACCATGCAAGATTCAAATTAAAAGTGAACCTCCTGAAATTAAAACTGAACCTGAAGAATCAGAAGGAAAGGAAATTAAAATTGAACCTAAGCCAGAACCAATGGAAGTTAGTAGTGCCCCAGATGAAGGTCATGTTAAACAAGAGCCATTTATTAAGGAGGAGCCTAAAAGTCCAGCAGTACGTACACCAAGCGAATCATCGAATTCAAATGAAGGTAGCAATAGCAAAGGTGATAAGCCTGCCAATAGTGGAGTAGTTGCACCAAGAAGACCAGCCCCACCACCACCCAAGCCAGCTCAGATCATCTCTGCTTCTTCCAACAAAGATAGAGCTCCTCTATTTAAGCCAGATGAATTACGGCAACATCTGGTACCTACTCTTGAAAAGCTCTATCGACAAGATCCCGAATCTATTCCTTTCCGGCAACCAGTTGACCCTCAAGCTCTTGGAATCCCAGATTACTTCGATATTATTAAGAAACCTATGGACTTATCTACTATTAAGAGAAAATTAGACACGGGTCAATACACTGACCCTTGGGACTATGTGGACGATGTTTGGCTGATGTTTGACAATGCGTGGATATACAATAGAAAAACGTCACGTGTCTACAGATACTGCACAAAAGTAAGATATGAATTTTGTTGTTTGTAATAAGGAAAAGGTTAAGCAGAATATTTACATAGTGCTGTAAAGAATGTGTGTTTTCCTTATCTCTGATATTTTTCTGTATTCAGAATTTATACATTTTAATGAGGCAGTTAGACAAAATACCTGATAAAATTTTGGGCATTTTAGTTGTCTTGTGATGCTCATAAAACTAGCCTCTGAGCTCTTAGTTAAAACATTGATATAGTTTTTATAGCAGAAACAATAAAGGCTTTAGTAATCTATCATCGGATGGAGCTTTATTTATATATATAAATTTATCCATTATAAGTTCAGTACTTTAAGATTGGAATCATGAATATTGATACCTGTATTGTAAATAAATGTAGATGATGAAGAGCAATGGTTCTTGGTAAAGCTAAAACAAGTGCTATGGAAATAAACTTTTCTTCTTTCCCAAATAAATTGTGACTGACATATACTTAAATGCATGCACTATGTTTTCAAAAGATAGAACTTAACAAAATTAGACAAAATAATAACCTGTTTACTATGTTGTGTAGGTTTGAAACCTTGGCACTTATTTTGCTTGACCGATGGGAAATCTTTAATTCATTAATAATGTTTGATTTTAATATTCTTATTGACCTTCAAGCATGGTATGAAGGAGTTTTTAGCCGTTATTGCACAAATATAAGGTATCATGTTTCTTTACCTAATGACAAAAATAAAAACAGCCTTAGATAATGGCAAATTCAGTTAATATATTAAGTTTACTTGGAGTATATAGTAGAGTGAAAATTCTATATATACTTGTGAAAGGCACGAGTTGTGAAGACAGAGAAAAGTAAATTGCAATCATCTGTGATGAACTGATAACTTAAAGAAATTTCTTGGTACAGTATTATGATGGGATATTAGATGGGAAGAGAGAGAACAATTTTAGTGGAGTATGTTTGGGAAGTGACAGCAATGTTGTGGGTTCATATGCATCAATATTAGTCAGCTTAGCAAGTATTTTAGTAAAATTGTTGAATGTAAAATTGCATATTCATGTTGAAAGGTGATGGATATTTTACTTACCAGTTAATTTTTGTAGAAAAAGGTTAGTTTAATGTGAAGCATTCATGAATCAGAAATTTCAGGTAATTATATTCATTCAGCTGACTTAGAAGTGGATGTTTTAAAAGTTTTCAGTATTTCTTATACAGATAGTAAGGAATTAAGTTTGGCTGTCAAATATGTTTTAGCTCTACATGTATGGTATTGTATTAATAGATGTTCAAATTATCTTCCCTTATAAGTATATTTAATTTTTGGTCTCTTTCTTTCTTGACAGCTTGCAGAAGTATTTGAAGCCGAGATTGACCCTGTGATGCAACAGTTGGGGTACTGTTGTGGTCGCAAATATACTTTTAACCCACAGGTGCTTTGTTGCTATGGAAAGCAGCTCTGCACCATACCTCGTGATGCCAAGTACTTCAGCTACCAGAACAGGTGTGCATGAGTTACATTTTTGTTAACTTGTCTGGTATTTAGTATTAATGGGAGAAAATAGGGTCATATGCACTTGACAACATTGTAGTTGCTCAGTTGAGCATTCTCTTAACCAGCACCTAGTACACATTATCTTACTGGGTTATTTTTGTAACTAAACATTTTATTTGGTTTTGCAAAATAGAACAAATCATAGTGCAAAATTATTTTTGTTTGTTACTTAGTGTATTAGCCCAAAATGCTTTTTGTAATTCACATAAATATTCAGCCTGACAAAAAGAGATGCTAACATGTGATGCCAGCATAATGTTGTCAGACTTTATGTATTATATACTGTGCCAAAATTTAGGGGTGTGAAACCAAAGACACACTAAATGAAAGAATATAGTTTTTTTGTGGTTCTTGGGCCATTTTGCAATAGGCATCTGGTGCACCTTGTATTTGTTGCATGAGATCACATTAACACTCACTTCATCCCACTTACTGTTTGTGTTGTTAGAAGCATTGGACATGTTTTGCGATGCATACAAGTTTGTTTCATATACTGTACCATAAATTTCAGCAAATCTCATAATAAATAACTAAAAATCCCAGAGGAGTGCTTGGTACTGGTACTGTCAAGCCTGGTCTTCCAGTAAAACTGTCTAAAAATGGTGTAGACCAGAACTGGTGCATGGGGCATGTTGGGTATGAGCGGTACACCCGGTACGAGTTCTGTTAGCAGGCCCTGCACGTGTGGCGGTACCATCATCATCACTCCCCTCCCTCCCCCCTACTTTTAATTTCATCATTACTTACTGTTTCAGTTTTAATCACCTCATTATCTTGCATTGGTGTCACTTTTGGCACTTTCAAGATCAAGATCAGAAAAATTTTCAACTAAGGCCTGAAATTTTGTTGGTGAGAGTTTCACTTTGCAGTACTTTTGGCGAACACTACTTAGATTCTCACTCAGACATATTCCTTTCCCTGCTTTCGCCCTGGAATGGCTCTGCTCTTAATCGCTATCCATCTTGGAGTAAGTGTATGGTGTATAAAGGCTGTAACAAATATAGCTGAGGAAAAATAGCCGGAACGGGCACACGTGTTGAACGCGAGGGGAAAGCCGCAGCAGTCACAAGAGTAGACGCGATAACAATGAACCTACCGTGTGGCATGTGGTGCTGTGATACCACATGGGCCATCACAGATAATGGGAAAACGTTGGCGCACATTTTAAAACACATCCCATAATAATCGATAAAAAAAAGGAATTTTAACATATTTAAATTTGTGCACAAAATGCATCACCGCTGGACATTCTTAAAGTTATTTATGGATCCAATATTCGTCACCGACGGCAAAAAGTGTTAATGAGAGTTCTCATAGACTACTATTAGATTTATAAGACATGCATTTTGATTTTTAAAATCATTCTCTCATACAAAGTTAATCCTCAAGATGTTCCACTAGTATCTTTCTGATATTCACTACTTTGCAAGATATAAACGTCCGTGACACAGGTCTGCTGGTTTAGACTTCACATCTGTCTCCTATCTTAAAAATGGGCACCACGTTTCCAGTTTCCCGATTTTTGAGAGCCCCCTCCTTTGCTAATGACACATTACTGTATAGACTTTCATTAGATGGTAACACATTATCTCTGCTGCCTCTTTTTATCATCCATGGCAAAATACGGTCTATGTGTACTGCTTTGCTCATATTATATCTTGTATCTGCCTTCCATTCTGTCTTAAATTTTTCACAGACCGCAACTTTACTTCCTAGAAGAACATATCCAACTGTATTTAGTCAAATAACTTTGTTCCTTAATGTTGATTTTCTTCTAATAAGGTTCTGTAGTAACTTTGACTGCTCTTTATTTTTAGCAACTATATATATATCATTTTCAAATTGCTCTTTTATTTCTCTCCCGGTCTTAGTGTACTCGTTTATATTGTCAATACTTTTTTCATAACTTTTTAAGCTTTTAGCTACCTTGCATTCGTTAATCTTTATTTCACTGGATGATGTGTGCATTTATGTGCTATATTCTCTATCATTTAATTTATTTGTTACCTGTAGCCTGTTTCATCAGACGTCTTGAAGGAATCTTCTCAACCATTTGGTTTCTTCTCTCTTGGTCCTGTTTCCCTCAGGACATGTGTATTCATCCTGCTTATGTAGCAGCTTATCCAGCTTATGTAATCGATCACAGTACAATGGCCACTGGCATCATGTGGCTCTTATCTTATCCCTTCAGTATCCACTCTGTGCTGGGTGTACTCCAGGTCTAATAGTGTCCTCCAGCTGTACTCACCAAGTTGTGCTTGCGGGAGTTGAGCTTTGGCTTTTTGGTCCCGTCTCTCAACCGTCAATCAACTGATGTACAGATTCCTGAGCCTACTGGGCTCTTATCATATCTACAAATATGTAGTCCTCTACTCCATGGAAATCCTTTATTACCCAGTCAATTTTCCTATAAAAAAAACAGAACTATGAATTTAGTCCTCGATCAACATGGTATCATTGCTACCCCTCTCTAGTACCTTATATTATAAACAGCAACTTGTGTTCTTGTCAATTTTTTTATTTATCGTGCTGTCTAGGTGGCGGATGCACAATATAGTGTTTTTCAGGCACTTGTGCCTGTTGAAGATGAATTTGTAAATTCTAGGGGTTGTTCTGAAATCTAGTTTAACATAAGTTAACTTAAGGCATATACATGGTAATTTATAAAAATATATATTTGTTTTTTCCAGATATACTTACTGCTATAGATGCTTTAATGACATCCAGGGAGACAGCATAACCTTAGGAGATGATCCATCTCAACCAGCTTTGTAAGTAGCTTTCTACCATGTGCTTTATCATGTTGTGTGTTTATTACATACTTAATCTCTTTACAGGTAGAGATTTATTAAAAAAAAATGCTTATACTATATTTGAAGCACTTTTATTTATCATGGTTCATTGGTCGATGCAATCTATCCTCCAAAATTAGCATCATTTAATGGATTTCTCTTCACAACAGATTAAATCCACCCCACTGGATATTCTCTCCAAAATTTAGTCTTTGTAAAAATTCTGGAATTCTGAAGGGGGGTTGTGGTGAAATCCAGACTAGTATTTGCCTTGTAAAATTTATTAAAAGAATTTATTGCTGTTTTGATTGATTTAACTGTATTTCAACATTGATGGATAGTTTACAGTGGCTGAAGTATAGTACATCACCTAACCACCCAACCACCTAAATTAGACTCATTCAAAGGTTTGTCCTGTAGATGATTTGACTACAGATTGAGGTTGTCAAAACTTTTTTTTTTTTTTTTGGTACTCTTTCAGATGGAAGTTTCAATACGGATATCAATTATATATATTTGTTACAAAGATTATAATGGTGGTGGTGGTTGTATAATACAACAATGTCAAGATGAGGGGAGCTGTGAGGTGAGGCAGTAGAGAGCAGATGGTGGTAGTCTGGCCATGGCTGGTGGCTGTAACAAAGTACATCTGGTGGGAAGGCTGAGTTGGCAGAGATAGAAGTGGTGTTGCTCGGAACTGAGCTGTGGTGAGAATGATGGTGCTATGGTCAGTTAGCCTTGTATCCCAGTCCACCTGGCTCACTTTGGACCAGCCCTGCTCATTGATTGTTCATTGTTTCTGGTACTGTAATTGCCTTTCCCTTATGTTTAAATACAGGTTTCCTATCTCCTTTGCCCATTTTCATTACTTTAAGCATATTTGGTTTGAATTCCAGCAGCCATTAATCTGCCACTCCTGAAGTTTGTCATACTCTTCTTGCAGCACCCTACAGTCCTCTTCAGCTTGTATTTTAATGATTGACTTTGCATCATCTACAGATGTCAACTTGTACAAGCTCACTCCCTCTGTAAGATCATTTACATAGATTTAAAAGGGCAGTGGTCCTAAAACATAGCCCAGTGGAACACAGCTTTCCACTTCTCTGCAGCTTGACATATCCTCTCTATCACACTTTATTTCTTGTCTTTCAAGTACTCTCATTCCCAGTTCAGATGTGGTGTTGCTTCTAGCTGAGCTAATGCTATGGTCAGCTGGCCTTTGTCTCCGTTGATTTGTTGATGGGGAAACTGATTGATCCTGAGATAATACAGACATCATTTGTAGCCCCTGTAATTCCTGTGAGCGTGAAAGTAGCTGGCATTTCTGATGTTGCTACAGATTAAATATATTATGTTGAACTATTTCATAAAAAAAAATTCATCAAAGTTCCTATGAATGATTATTAAATTCAAGTCTAATTTAGTAAGAATTTCATTATAATGCTCATAATCATATGTTAATGAATAATGGTTCATTTATTTTATAGAATGATTAAGAAATCCCAATTCACCGAAATGAAAAATGATGCCCTGGACTTGGAACCTCTGGTAGAGTGCCTTGAATGTGGCCGAAAGCAGCACCAGATATGTGTGCTGTACATGGAGACAATTTGGCCACAAGGTTTTGTCTGTGATGGTTGTCTCAAGAAAAAAAACTCATTACGAAAAGAGAACAAGTTTACTTCCAAGAAACTGCCTACTACAAAATTGAGCAATTTCTTGGAAACTCGGGTCAACAACTTCCTAAAGAAAAAAGAGGCTGGTGCTGGTGAAGTTTATATTAGGGTCGTGTCTTCTACAGATAAAATTGTCGAAGTTAAAGGAGGCATGAAAACCAGGTGAGAAAAATTGGCTTGTGAGCTTTGTACTGTATTTCAATAATGTATACAATACACTATATTGTTACAAGGTAGTTAAATTTACTATGCTTTTTGGATGATTATTATTAGCTACTGCAAAAATTTATCAAGAGTATCACATAATAAATATTTGCATCTGTAAATTATTCTCCTGTTATTTTTATTTTAATATGATTTATCTAATTTGGAGTATAGCAGATTCAGATGCATTAATTGGAAGTTTCTTTGTGTTTTTATATTGTTCAATCTTGATTAAGATTTATTTTACAAGCATTACTTCCATTTGTATGCTGTAATGTTTTTCTTATGCTTTTTCCTGCCAACAGAATTCTTCAATTACCCATGAGCATCTTATTAAACTGTTTAAATTCTAATCTTAAAATATGAGGTAACTGCTTCATGCTAAGCCATTAATGCCCGTATGCAAAGACTATTGGCAGTTGTTTACATATTGCACTCTCATCCTGGAGGAAGAATCTTAAAACTTAGCACACAGTATTTTCTATGAGAAGAAAAGGATTAGCTCTCAAAAGTAATAATTAGCTTTCTAATTAGGCATAGATTAAGGATACTAATCCAGTTGTTGCTTTTCAGATTTGTGGATACAGGGCAACTTTCTCCCGAGTTTCCTTATCGTGCCAAAGCTCTGTTTGCGTATGAAGATATAGATGGGCACGATGTGTGCTTCTTCGGTATGCATGTGCAGGAGTATGGGTCTGACAGTCCTGTACCAAATACTCGCAGGGTGTACTTAGCTTATTTAGATAGTGTACATTTCTTCAAACCAAGACAATATAGAACTGCAGTCTACCATGAAATTCTCCTGGGTTATCTTGATTATGTTAAACAGTTGGGGTAAGTGTGCTTTTTTCTAGCTATGCAACTTTGTTTACTTAATAATTAGTTTACTTGTAAACCTTTTGTCAACAAACATTATGCTCTTTAAAATGGAGCTCACCCATATCTTTTGTGTATATTTTTTGAGTTTTATGTAGACTTTTTAAAATTGGTTTTATATATTGAGTTAGTGGAATTTTATTTGTAATAAGTGTAAATAATATGTATTTGACATTATAAATGTGTGTATAGGTTTACAGTTGTCTATATATCTATACACAATACATTGTCTACATCAAGAGGTTTGCTCTGCATTTCAGGTATACTATGGCACATATTTGGGCATGTCCACCCTCAGAAGGAGATGATTATATCTTCCACTGCCATCCTAGTGATCAGAAGATTCCTAAACCAAAGCGCCTGCAAGAATGGTACAAGAAGATGCTTGATAAAGGTATCATAGAAAGAATAGTATTAGATTATAAGGATATCCACAAACAAGCCTTTGAAGACAACATGAAATCTCCTGCAGAGTTACCCTATTTCGAAGGTGACTTCTGGCCCAATGTGATGGAAGAGAGTATAAAAGAATTAGACCAAGAGGAGGAGGAAAAACGAAAACAGGAGGAGGCAGCGGCAGCCGAAGCTGCAGCACAGGCAGCTATGGGACAGGAGGAAGAGGAGGAAACCAGTCAAGATGGGAAGAAGAAAGGTCAAAAGAAACACAAAAACAAGAACAAAAGTAAAAGTCAACAGAAGAACAAGTCAAAGAGTAAGAGCAATGCAGCAGGCTGCAATGATCTTGCTCAAAAAATATTTGCCACAATGGAGAAACACAAAGATGTATTCTTTGTAATAAGATTGCATAGTGCACAGTCTGCTGTTAGTTTGCCTCCTATTCAAGACCCTGACCCCATTATGGTATGTGATCTCATGGATGGTAGAGATGCCTTCCTCACTTTGGCTAGTGAACGACATTTAGAGTTCTCATCGTTACGCCGTGCCAAGTACTCCACAATGGTCATGATGTATGAGCTACATAACCAAGGGCAAGATCGTTTTGTCTACACATGTAATCATTGCAAGGCTCATGTGGAAACAAGATATCACTGTCAAGAGTGTGATGACTTTGATTTGTGTACTAATTGCTTCAAGGCAGAAGGTCATAATCACAAGATGATAAAACTTGGATTGGATCTAGAAGATGGGTCAGTCAACACCGAGAACAAGAACCTGAATCCACAAGAGGCCCGTAGACAGTCCATACAGCGGTGTATTCAATCCTTGGTGCATGCTTCTCAGTGCAGAGATGCAAATTGCAGGCTTCCATCATGCCAGAAAATGAAGAGAGTCTTGTCCCATACAAAGTCCTGCAAAAAGAAGAATAATGGTGGATGTGCAATATGTAAACAACTCATTGCTCTTTGCTGTTACCATGCAAGAAATTGCAAAGAGCAAAGATGTGTCGTTCCCTACTGCTTTAACATTAAACAAAAATTACGGCAACAAGAGATGCAACAGAGGTTCCAGCAGCAGCAGTTAATGAAGAGAAGAATGCAACAGATGAATGCACGGATGGTTGGTGTGACAGCCAATCCATCCATGCCTCAGCCATCTACTCCAGTTCCTCCACCTGTTCAGAGCCCCATCCACAATACTCAGCCGGGGATCAAACCAGCCACTCAAGCACCACCACCACCAAATGTTATGAAGGCCATTGCTCAGGTATGTTATGCTAATTTTTTTTATATAATGCAGTAATGGATTATTGCATTATATATATATATATATATATATATATATATATATATATATATATATATATATATATATATATATATAAATATAATGTATATATTTACACACAGTCTATATTTAGCCATGAATTACTAATCTTATAATATATTCTATTTAAACAGTGGCTGAAATCTAATCACTCGGCAAAATAATGGTTTAATTATATTTTTGCTTATTAAACGTACAGTAAAATCTGTTGACTTATATCAGCCTTTGATTGTCAGGTTCAGGAGGAAGCTGCGAGACAAACTGGGCCTGCTACTGCTGTGAGCTATGGGAAGGGTAATCCTGGTAATGCTGCAGTCAGTCAAGCACCCATGATGCCCCCTCCCATAGCCCCACAGCAGCAGGTCCGCCCACAGATACCTACCAATGCCATGGCACAAATGGCTAACATGGGTCCTCAGGTCTCACAAATGAATCCCATGGGTAAACCTAATGCTGTTATGCAGCAGCAACAGCAACAACAGCAGCAGCAGCAACAACAACAAAACCGAGTTTTACCAGGAATGGAGCAATTATGGAACAGGTATGATAGTTTTTGGTTCATTTTTTTCTCTTGTGGTTGACATCATATTTGCCCAAATATAAGCCATCCCCAGTTCTTTGCCGCAGAGTGAGTTTTGGACATTTTGTGCAAAAATGCTCTGTCCTCAATTCTTTGTTGCACTCTAATGTTGTTCAATTACTTTAAAACCTTGCATTAAAATTTTATTTTGTTTTGATATTACTCCTAATCCAACCCATTGTCCTAATAGTACATCGCATTTTGACATACGGTTTACCTAAGGCCAAAAACTGATGTAGTAAAATGATAGTGGCTTGCAAAATTGAAGTGAGTTTTTGTTTTCTGTTCATTGGTCCTTTGGTAGGTTAAATTCAGGCAATTTTGTACAACAGTTTAATGACATTAAGAACACTCGGGAGAAGAGGCTGCTTAATCATAGGAGATACCTATAATGTATGCCAAAGTAAAAGCTAGTAATTTTGACAATACATTACCCTTAAGAATTGTAATCTGCAGATTTGCCTTTACTGAACAGGATATGCATTTTGTATGAAGCAAGCATAGATATGTAGGGTAAAAAATAGTTTTAGCATTTTTATTAAATCTTTGTTAAAGGTAGTATTATTTTTATCAATATCGTTGCTGTACAAGGTCAGTCTACTCTGTACATTGGTGCCAATTATCGACATCAATATATTTTTTTAATTTGCATTATCAATACAGTGGATACTCGAAGTTCTACTGGGTAAAGGAGGATTTAACATTTAAACCTGTAGCTCATAGATATACAGTATATGTAAAGTACATAGAATCAGAGTAAAATATGGAATGGTGGTAATCTTTCATGTATAGTGTTGTTAAGAGTAATTGAAACACACAGCTAGTAAAGTAAGCAGTGGTGTAAGTGAACTTGACCTAGGGAGTAGTTGCTGCATCACCCTTTTAGGAGCTGGTGCCTCCTAATATTGTCATTATAACAAGGATGCAAAAGAAGATCTTTGAATTTTTCAGGTACTTGAAATAATGTTATGAAGACAACAAAAGCTTTTGATATTTCAATGCATAATATAAATTGATTCACCTAGTTGTACATTGCAAATGGCTTGTTCATCAGTTATCGGTAAGGCTTTGGGGAGATTACCATGCATCTCTGGATGCTTACACTGAAAAGCTTTTGTCTTTTCCTTGCATCCAAAGAATTTCGTATTATGTTCAGTAAAGGAAAAATCTGCAGATTTAGATTTTTAGGAGTTATTTAATAAACCCTGGGGCCTGGGAGCTGAGTGGATAGCGCTTCAGATTCGTAGTTTTGAGGTTCCTGGTTCGATCCCCGGTGGAGGCAGAAACAAATTGGCAGAGTTTCTTTCACCCTGATGTCCTTATTTAGCAGTAAATAGGTACTTGGGAGTTACAGCTGCTACGGGCTGCTTCTTGGGGGTGTGCAACAAAAAGGAGGCCTGGTCGAGGATCAGACCGCAAGAACGCTAAGCCTCAAAATCATCTCAAGATAAGGTCTATGTTAAGAGTAATTTGATGTAAATATAATATTGGTGTGGGATTTTAAGTAATGGGTCAACTTGAGGGTGTACAATACAATTGCAGCTCAAGTGTTTTTGTATGAAATATGTACAAAACTCACCCTGCGTCTTACAACTGGTGGTGCCTTATACTTGGGCAAATATGGCAAAAAATTTGAAAGGAGGATGTTAATGGGTGGAAGGAATGGCTGGTTCATCAGCTGTTCTTTCCCTTGATGAATCTTATGGTACAGATATGCACACTGCTGGTAGATGGTGCTGGAGAGGTTATAGATAGTGTTGCTTTTACAGAAGGGTTGAAAAACTGTTTGAAGCTTTTTTTTTTTTTTTTTTTTTTTTTTTTTTTTTTTTTTTTGTCAAGGTATGGTGCAGTGTCAAATGAGTGCCTAACACGATTTACTTTATTGTTATATATTTCTTCCCAGTCCTATGGTTCACTTGGTCTTGTTTGGGTAGTTCTTCTAATCCTGCATGTGTCTCCTTTGGGGCTCTTTGGTTCCCCTTGGTAAGTCCCTGGCACCCAAAATGTTGTCTGGTGTGATGTGGATCTGGATGTTTGCCGTTGGAGGGGCTGTATGTTTGCCTGCTCCCAATGACTGGGGTAACTGGTGGTTTTTCCTTTGGTAATGTGGATGATCAAATATCCCCACTCTATGCCTCCATTGAAGGGACCAGATTCTTGTCCTGATCTGTGGTAAGTACTCGTGGTTTGTTAGAGCCTGGTGTGGTACCTGTGTTAGGACTTTAAGCGGATAAGTTGGAGAGCTACCGAGGTGATGCACTAGAAAGAGACTTTCTACTGCATTCAACACTGGTATTGTTTGATAATTTAAGTTGTAAAATAATGTATTTGAGCTTGTTTGAAAGCTTTTATACACTCCATTATATAATGTAATATGTATTTTAGATTAGGTTGGCTGTTAACATGAACTTGTCCCAACAGAGTGGCTGAAGGGGACAGTACTCATAACAATTAATAAATATTTGGTACACTCAATTGAAAATTTTCAACTGAGATAGCTTTATTTGAGTGAGATCCCTCTGTATAATGGGGGCGTTCTTTTAATCTTTAACGTGAAGCTATTGAAAAATGGTCATTCCCGCCTTTAAAAATTCCCGTGTTCAAGAATGAAAGCAATTCCAAAATTTTTTTTTACAGATTTATTGGTGCCTCAAGTAGGCCTATTGGGCCACACGAGTATCTCCTATTTAGGTCAATATAAATACGAGCTGCCTCGTATGTGCAAATAGGCCTTCTGTAGTCCTTTATTGATATGTTCAAATGATGATTGGTAGACCTGGTATACTTTATTACAACCTTATAGAGTTGAGAAAAACATGAATATTATTAATTTACATATCATATACTGTAATTATGATGGCATTTTATACGGTGAGAATGTCCGTAGGAGCCATGATGAGGGTTCAAACCTATGTGGTGGATGCTCCCCCACACGCTCTAGATGACTAGACCATGACATTGCCTAATGATTCCAATCTGGAGTTCTACTGGACACACAAGGGTTTCTCATGGGTTCAGTAGAACTCCAGATTGCAATCCTTATACAATCAATCCTTATAGCAACCATGGTTTAGTCATCTAGAGCGTGTGTGTGGGAGCATCACTGCATAGGTTCGAACCCTCGTCACGGCTCCTATAGATTTAATTATTGGTGCAGTTACGTTAGTGCGATTGCTGCACTTGCATGGTAACATTTGTGATAATTGCATTCACATAGTAATGTAACCATGAAATAATAGCAGGATTTTTGTCGTGTGAAAGTAAACTCTGTTACGTGCACATAAAGATATTATATCCATATTAGCATCATACATGTAAACCCCAGACAATAATAATTAGAATCAACATATGACGATAACCGCACTTGCCCTTGCATCGCCATATGAACCACTCTTATAAGAGTTAACTTGTATGTGCCCGCCTTTCCCTCCTAGCCCACTTGCCTTCCACCACCACTACCAGGTATATAGTGGTGGTGTATGTAGGAAGTGTTCATCCAATTTTGAAAAAGGAGTTACAGGTATTGGGAAAAGCATGGTTATTTCGTGGTTCAATTAATTGTGCTAAAGTAGTAATGAAAAAATAGAGAGCAGAACATGGTGGTCTACTGGGAGGCATTAAGGGGAGCCAGAAGTAAGTGACTTGTGTTAAGATAGAAGCAGAACGGTAATTTGAGAAAAACAGTGCTAAAAGCAAAGGACCAAACTGTTGCATAGTCAAATACAGAGAAAGACTATAAAATAGAAAATAACAAGGTGTGCAAGGGACTTGATAAAAAGTTCTAGGTGTATAAAGTTGTAGCAGAGTGGGTGGGAGGCAGCAGTTGGACACAATGTTAGATATATTGTAGTCAGCTAAGAGGAAGTAAAAGAGAGACATGATGTAACTAGATGCAACAAAGGACACTGCTTGGGTTCTTTGTGAGTTCATTAACTAGAACCTTCAAGAAAATATTAGATTGTAGCAAATTCACAGAAATCTGTAAAAGGCAAATGTAGTTAAAGTACTGAAGAAAATACAGATTGGGCCTATAGCCTAAAATATGCATTCCATGTAAGGTACAATAATAGAAGTTCAGGAAGAGAGAAGGGGATCATCCAAGAGGACAATTTTTGAAAGAGAGCTAATATGGTTTTGTAGGGACAGTCCAATCTGACTTAATTGGTAGAGGGTGGGTGGGGGAGGGGGGGGCAGGGTAGATTGAGGTTTCCTAGTAAAATAAAATGTTTGATATAGTTCCTTATAGAAGGGTAGTGTATAAGATTGAAATGCAAGCTATCTGAAAAACCCACTGAAGTGAGTAATAAAGTCAACTAACAAAACACAAGGAACAGAGGGTTGTTTATAGACTGGAGAAATGCTCATTCCCCCTTTTTTTTCTATTCATAATTTATGTGATGCTCTGTCTGATGAGGTGAGGCTGTAAATGTTAGTGTTTGCAAGAGGGTCAAGGTTTGTCTGATGAACCCAATTTCAATACTATAACCGATACAATAGGAGACAATAAGGCCACCAAAAAGTCTTTGATATTTGTCCCCCATGAAATGCTGATGCTTACAATAAAGCAGCTGGGTAGGATAGCTCAGACAGTTCTTGACTGGATAAGAAAAACAAAACAAATGAGGAACTGGAAAAATATGGTTATATAGAAGTGTCATTGAAGTGAGGTAGCTAGTAATGTTCTACAAGGCCCAGTAATTAGACCTTTACTGTTCCTATTTTCTGTAGCATAAATGACCTCCTTCAGAAGGTAAGATCATAAATGAAAATGTTTGTAGACTAATAAAGTTAATGAGAAAGATGACTGAAGCTGCAAGTTTGGTTAGATAAGTGTATTCTAGAGTGCATTTCTAATACAGTATATGTAAAGTAATGAAGTTTGGGAGAGGGGAGTAAAGGCCTAAAGGGCATTATAAGAGTGAGGCACATGCAAGAGTAGGAAATGGAAAATGACCTGGACA